AAGATGGGAGCCTTCAGTGAAAGTTGTCAGAAATAAAGACAGAATAAAAGTTAACGATTTCTTTTTACAGAAAAGAAATATAAATATTAAAAAAATGTATTTTTTTTCCAACTTAAACTCAGATTTTCATAAATTTTGTGTCAAACTTGAAGGAATGAAAAAGTGGATATTTAGTATATTTAAATGTTAGAACTCAATAGGCATACTTAATGCCCAGAAAACAATCCTTTAAAAGAATAAAATATCAGTATAGAAAGAAGAGTGTAGTTACAGAGAAAAGATATTTTTAAAAAACAGGCTTTATTGTGCAAAACCTTTGCCTCATTTTTCCTTACAACGTTTTTGGCCTTAGACCATATTTAATTTTTAATAAGTTTAACTTGAAGCACTTACACACAATTGTTATTGGTTTATTTTTTATTCATTGTTTAAAGAATGATAATGTGTTTTTATTTCTTGTTTTGTTCTTTTACACAAATGGATGATTTTGTCTTTCTCTTATAAAATGGAAAATATTGTTGTAAGAAGCAATTCTACGAAGGTTAAAAAGTCTGTTAACAATATAAGGAAAATTAATGGACCCTAGAGTTATGTCTGAGTATGAGAAGGTAGTGGCTAAAGTCATGAACCTTATTATCTTCTACATTTGAAATGTTCCTAATTTATCCCTCTACTAACACAACTCAAATGAAAAAAGCTATCTCTCTCTACAAAATCACATTAGCTTCTTATTTGAGCTGAAAATTCCTTATTTAGTAAAGAAGAAATAAGATAAGAGGTGAATGCATTAAGAATATAACCTAAGCTGAGCGTCCAGCTTTGGCAAAGGCTGCTGAGGAGATAAAATTGAGAAATGGTGGCCAAGGGTTCCCTCCACACATAAAAGCTTACTTGACAAAGTCAAGATGCAAATCAATGACTACATTCACATCTTAATTTTTAATAAGCAATATGATATATCTCCCCACAAAGAAAAATGCAGCCATAGTAGAAGTAAACTCTACAAACGTTGTTGAGGGCTATATGTCCAGTATATTTTCCCTAGCCTTCATATCCTCTCAGTGCAGTAGATGCCAGTTTGAAATGGGTCTCGGAAGAAAATAGAGCTACGTATACACTCTTAAACAAATTTGTTATCAGATGTATGAGATATTGTTTCTGAGAAATTGTTTTAAAATGACAATTGTGAATATTACGGTTACCATTTATCATGTATTCTGTGTGTGATTTACATTCTTTATTTAAAACATGGACAAATGGATTAATAAAGTGTGTTAATGATTCAGAACTAGGGAACTCATTTTGATCTAATGTGTACAATTGCATGCTTAAAAAAGTAAGAGATAGCCATAGCATTTCTCTCTAGCTATCTTTAAAAATATACACAGTGGCTACTGGCAAGTGTGTAGTAATGTTTAAGGTAAGTTGTCGTGTTCTATTTGTATCAATTTCAATAAATGTACTATCTATTCTCCAAACCTTTGATAACACAAGAATCGAAAGTCGGCTGTGAAGAATAAACCTTAAACAGTAACCACTCTAGTTTATTGTTGCATGCATAGACTTTCTATGAAAAATATCTGAATCCAAGGTCATCTATGTCATTGCGTTTCAACACACCATGTGTGCTGTGTGCTGTGTGTGTGTGATTTGTAGAGCCCTTAAATTTAAATTTATTTCAAAAAGGAAGCATCAGTGTGGTGCCTAACAAGGTTGTATGAAGGTCTAACAAGGTTGTACATCAGACCTGTAAATACATCAAAAACAAGTAAAAACTGCATTTTGTTCTAAATCAATTTGGTAAGCTACTATGTTGACTTCTTATAATTAAAAAAAATTAAATTTACTGTCTTTGAGTCAAGTATTTTAAAATTTCATATTGTTTTATTGATGACTAAAGAATTCAGACTTTGGAATCTTGACCAAGACAAATTATATATGGAATAATTAGTGCTAGTCAGGATGCTATTGATAGGGCATATAAATATTAATTTTTCAAAAACAGCAATTACAATCAAAATTAAATATGCAAGTAAACCCTGCATTGTTTTGCCTATCCTGCTCCCAAAGATTGGATTATTTTAAACCATCATGTGAAAGTATTTCCAGATAATTCATTCACTATTGGTAGGAGAGTTTATATTGTTTGATATGCAAATAATTGAGAATATCAATAAATATCTTGTATTTATGAATATCAAATGAGGGTGTGTCCACTGCCCTGTAAGAGACGGACATCTTCAAGGTCTCATGCCTTCTCTAGAGAGCCCCTTGTTCTGTCTTTGATAATTCATCACAATTTCTTAAAAAAATTCTGGGGCAAATTTTCGCATTTGATTTTCAAGCTTTAGAATTGGGTATTTCCTTGTCTATCCCTTTTTTTATTACCTGTCTGAGGTAAATTTACATTAACAACCACCACAGAAACAATCCTGTTTTTTTTCCTCCATGGAAATTAAATGTGATATTATAAATGGAAATATCATCTATTGATAGATATACAGATTCTAACTATTTTTGAGTCTTAGTGAGATAGACTTACAGAGTTTTTTAAAGAGTTGGGTTCAAGTTAAAGAATGACAGGTGACCAGATAAAGTCTGGGTTAGAGGGACTGGATAAAAAGGCATCAATTTGGAAGGGAAAGCAAAGATAAATGGTCATCCACCTTATTTGACAGATGAGGTCATGGAACTAGTCTTATGTATAGTTAAGGTATAAGTTTTCACAAAGACAACTTCCAATGGAAAATATTTTCTAATTCATTTCCAACAATAAGAGATTGTTTGCTATCACACAATTAATTCTTTCATAATCAACAGTACACGTGCAATCAATACAGGTATTCGTGACAAAAAAATATGAAAGTACTAGAAACCTGATCTCTATTTTATCAAGATTACATCTGGTTACCCCTGCTATTATCTTCACTGGAGTATGCAACATTAGCATTCAGCGTCCCCTGTACCCCCATCACACACACTCTGTCCTTATTGGAGTTTAGTGGGTACCAGAAGCAAAGGCACCTGTTTAGGCACCTCTGGGAGAAGTTATGCTTAAATTTATAAAAAATATATTTGAGAACATTATACACTAAAAGGACAACAATCATTTACGCTCATTTTTGATTTTCATTTCTAAGAGACAATCTAGCAGAGACGTTACTCTAGGATCTTGTGAATTTTCTAACCCAAGGTTATTTCTGCTTGCCTAAGAAAGAGAAGGAACTGAAAAATGCCCGGATGATCAAAATGTTGCCAAGTTGGTTTGTCTCTAAATGCTTTGATTTCATTGGCATTCCATGAGGCAATCACTTTGATGTTTGTTAAATTAAACAAAAGTGAAACTACTAAGGCATTCAATTCACAAATTTAATGTACATTTATTTGTGGGTGTGTGCGTGTATTTGTGGTTACAGTAGGAAACAGATTATAAGAGAATGGTGTGGCTCTTAAGGAGTGAATTTCTTCTTTTACCCTCACTATTTTTTTTAAAAGGGAAAAAAATTATCAACTAGGAAGAGATAAAGCTCATTTAGAAGCTTCATTTCCCACGGCATATTGGGATGCATTTAAAACTGAGAACAGCCTTGAAACCTTGTGCTGGTTTTGCCTAGATGAGGACTGAATTTCTGAAGACAAGAGTACAAACACAGTATAGACATGCTATCCATTGAAAACACTGAATCTACACATTCGAATAATAATAAAAAAGTACTCTTTATATATAAAATGTCTCCCAGATACCAAAAGATCAAATAAAAATCCCACCCCTCCTACTGCGTTCCTAGTTTGACTATACGCTTATTTGAGAAATGTCTCACAGCACTTGTTTCAGTGCAGTATTTTCTAGTTTATGGGGCTGGAATTAAAGGGACCACTATTCCCTCTGCCCCAACACACAGACTTAGGGAGTCAGTGTTCCCTATAGCACCATACTGCAGGATACGTGTGCATGACTGTGGCATACATCAGACATATTCTGGTAGAGATCTGGTTACTGATAGCCTTAGCCATAGGCACCCGAGGCCCCACTCAAACTACAGCTGTCATTCAATTCAGAAGCCAATGGGCATTCTCTTGAAGTCTGCTTGGCTCTTCTGTTCTCTTTTTTGGTGGGTCTGATTTGTTACTATGATCAAAACAGGTTAATTTATGAAGTCCTATATACAACACTCTTCCTCCTCCAGACAGCCTTGCTATTGCTACTTAGAAATAATGTAAATCATTGGAGGTGTGATAAATTTACAAAGATTTAGTTTTTAACCCATAGCAAGGCAGATATTGAGCTAGAGTGTAAAACGCAGAGCACTTAATGTACATAGGAAATTTAGGAAGAAAATTTTGATGCTGATTTTCCAAAATCATTTCTACTGTTTCTCAATATTATAAGATTGCTCACATATTTTGAATGGCATCCCACAGTAGTCACAGGCAAACTAGAATAACATATGCTTTACAAAACAAAAAGATATATCAGAAAATGAGTCAAAGTAAAAAAATAATGGGTACCATCCATCCTCCGGTAAATAATGAATATGTAGCGTATTTAATTACAAATTTCCAAATATATATTCACATAATAAAGGCAAGGACAATGAAGCAAAATCAAATGTGTTTTGTTGAAATAAGTACTTCCCTGTAGGCACATGACCTTGAAGGGCCAAGTACTGATGGCTCCAAGTATTTTCTATGTTAGGTTCACTTTGAAAGTACTGATGCCATCAGCACTTGCCCGCTGGTGCCCAATGATGTATATTTTGACCTTGGATACTCTTCACAGGAAAGCATCATATTGCTAAAGGAGACAAATGACCACTAAAAAGTAACCATTAATATAGATTATTTATGGAGGATTTTGTCTTGACTATTGATTAAGGGAGTAATTGTATATCTAAACTTTATATCAAACAGCCAGTGGATTTACTGCTTTTTTAGAATACATACGGGTGAAATTATAATCACATAACAGTTTTTCAAAAAATATTAAAATAATTATTTTAAAAAAATAAGGGGTTGGACCAAGACTTAAGTTTCACTGACAATGTTTTCAGTGTAAACAATATGTTAGTATAACTGCAATGAGTTATACAGCATATACCTTCTTAATGGTAAATTCAGAACCAATCTTCCAGATAAGCAAGTAAAGCATTTTAGTTAAAAAAATATACAAGAACAAGGTTGACTTCAACAAAGTTGTGAGGCCTTCCAGCTGTTTGATAATTGTGATAAATTTCAACACAATGACATATTGGATGCTCTACTTATTGGGTTTTTATAGACCTGTTAGTTTTTAAGACCATTTTCTAAAATGTTTCCATACATACAGTATTTTTAAATAATAACTTAGATGATCTAGACATTACAAATTTATGATAATCTTTTAAAATTCTACCAGTATTACCTCTATATTCAAAACAATGGAATATAGAAAAAATAATAAATATCACACAACCTTTTGTTAAATGTAAAGTGCATTTTTACCAAAGTGTTTCAACATTTGAGATCTTGAATTTCTATTAAGTAGTTCTGATAAATACATAGTGCTCTTTCTTTTGTCTGGATGACAGTATGTCTACTAATAACAGATGTTCCCAAAGACCAATTTGCAATGTATTTTCAGCAGAAACAACTTAACCTGAAATATGAATTGGATCTCTTTACGGCTTGACTCAGAAATAGTTACATTCCTTTTCCATGGAATGTGTCTTCCACAAAGAGATTTTAACCAAGGTTTTCCAAAACTGCAGTAAAAGAAATCTTTTATGCTTTCAAATACTGTGCCTTTTTATTTAAAACGGTGTAAACATAACAACTCAACACCACCAATAATTGGAAAAAGACTGGGTATATGAACACTAATTTCCTCATATGTCCCATGAAAATGAGGGTAAATAAATAGACAAATCTTCAGGAGAGGTTTCAGTTCACCTTAGCAGTGGTAAAAATATTGCTTTATTCCAAATGAACATACAACACAATTTACTGTTCTTTTGGGGGCTTCTTGTGAACTGAATAGTCTGGGTTTTTTGATTTCAGCAAGTTATTCTTCCCATATTAACCACAGAAGCCGAAGCCTCAGTCCACACGTAGTAGACTTGCTATAAAATAAATAGTAATGAGGATGATGAGAAAGCAAATGGGAACTGTCAATTTGTTAATTGTCTTGCATTAATAATTTAAGTAGGCATGATTCAAAATAAACACACATCCTCAGTTAACTCACCTGATGATACTGTTATCATTAATGAGCCAATAGTTGCTCCTCTCAAAAGTATTCACATCAGAAAATGGTCTAGACAGTGTCAAGAGTTTTATAGGACTCCACCATGCAAGTGACCTTGATTTAAGAACTGACTGAACTTTATAATTAATGGAAAAATTTAAAGTGAACAGATCTAAGAGGGAAATACTTTCTCTGAATATTAGATTCCCTGATGTTTCAGAACAAATTTTAGCAAGCGTAATACGCGCACACATGCACACACATACGCACAATGAACACATGTGCATACAGCATATGTGCTCGCGTGAGCAAGTCCACACACACACACGGTCGCACGCACATGTGCACACAGTCACACAAAAACTGAGAAACGCTCCTCCAGAGCCTCTAAACAATCTCAAGGAAAAACATTTCTATTAGCGTGATTTTAGTGACACGACATAGTGATTTTTTTTGTCTCTTTTTCTGTGATAATTTCAGACCTCCAGCTGAGATGTGTGCATTCAAATCTCAGAGGAAGGTGCCACACAAGAGTTGTTACGATTGCCCCCAGTTTCTCCTTCTCTCTCCTGTCCTCCTTCGCATTGCAGTCTTTTGTGCCATTCTCCAAAAATCAAATAGAAAACGCTGCATTTGTCGACATGACATAACCTGTGATGAGGCTATTGGGTGAACAGAAATTTAGGGCTTGGGACTGGCAAGCCAAATGGCAAGGGCCACCTGCTCACTGGCGCATCCACCTGCGGATACGGCTCTCCTCTTTTTGAAACCAGGTAACTGCCAGTGCTTTTGAATGAGGCACTGGCGCTGTGGGGCCAAGGGTCTGAATTGCCCACATCTCCTAAGAGCCAAAGAGGACAGTGTTGGGACTAACTGAAATTGGATTCAGAATTCTACCCAAAAGCTTTAATTGTAAGCTTTATCCCTCCTGAAACATTTCTTTCCCTTAAAAAAATATTTTGTTAAAAAACACTATGATATGAGGGCGATAGACTATTTGGTTTCTTCTAAGTAGATGCTCTTAAATTAATGCATATAAATAATTTGTAATCGATTTCCTCTCTTTCCTGTTGAGCAAAGCATAGAATGCACAGATTCCTACATCTCAAGTCACTTGGTCAATGCAGAGTCTCTTTGTATTTCATTTCTTAAGACAAATTGTGCCTCTCGTTCTGATTTGGCCGTGGGACTCAGGGGGAGAAAGGCTGTGTTTTCGCTTGCACTGTCCTCGGTTTCTACGCTGGCCAGTTCGTAGTCTTCTGACCGTCTGGCATCAGTCAGAATTCGGATCTGCTCCTGGACAGTTTCTAGCAATATTTTCACTTCTTGTTGTTCTGCTATAAGACAATCGCTGACTGGAATACTCACATTGACAACGTCAGCTGAATAGGAGTTTTTGCACCATTTGATGCTTTTGACTTCGGAAATCCCTGGCATTTGCATGCAGGTTTCCTCTAGACCCACTGAAGGGATGATGGGCACAGAACTGGCCCTTGTGGATGAATAGCCCACCAGGTCCTTTTGCTCCAAGCTATTAAAATAGGGGTTTGTCTCTCTTGAAGGCAGTTGCATATTTATTGATGTATTTCGTTGGGTTTTTAAACCACTGGATGAATACCTGAAAAAGAAACAAAGTGTTACTCCTTCTGCTTTCTGCTGGGCTTTGTTAGAGCAAAACTCAATCCACAAAGCACTTTTCACATGCACCATCTCACTGAATTCTCACAGCAACCCCATGAGACGGATAATAGGTTCCCAGTTAAACAGAGAAGTAAACTGAAGCTCAGATAGGTGAAGTGACTTGCCCAAGGTCACACAGAAAATAAGTGACAGACTGAGACTCAAACCCAGATCTTCTTACTTTAAGTCCAGGGGTCTTTCAACACACCACAGCTGTATAGGCAGGTGGGATATAGTCTTCCTGACCTCTATCCTAGAATACAAAGTAAATGGGGATTGAGCAGGTAAGTGTGGCCTTTCCATAGTGAAAAACAGGACACCCATAATGGCATTAGTCCACTACATCAACTCAACCACCCTCTCAGCCCTGGGTTAGTCCAGTAGACTTGTTTTGGCCACCCTAGTTGGAGCCAATCAAGAATTCCAATAATAAGCATCAGGTACTACAGTCATGAGTTTTCCTACTTCGCACTGATTTTAGGGGATCCAAATCCAATTGCTACGGCACTGTGCTCTAAAGGAACCATCTCACTGCCAGATTGCTGAGCCAGCAGATGGAAATGGGAAGCTCTCAATTCCTCTACCTACCTGGGGATGAATATTAAGTGGGTTCCATAGGGCTTCTACCCATCTAGCACCTTTTCTTACATAGTTTCTGAAACCAAGTAAGGTAGCTCTTTGGTGCATGGCAAGGGCTTGTCAAGAATGCCAATATGCCATTGCAAGTCATTTGAATATGGCAGAATCTTCTAAGTTCCCTTCTTGCCTGTTCAGGGCTAGTAAATCTTTCGCCTCTGTACTGTTCAGTGAGAGAAAATGGGACAGGTACATAGCAGATTTATAAAAACGGGGTTTTGGAACTTGAACAGTAGTGTTTTATTCTATTTCTTAGTTATTTGTCCCTAATTTAGACAATTAAACATTCAAATTTTGACACAATTTAAACACATCAACCTGCCATATAATAAATCTCATTTCCTTGACTGCCATTATTATGTAAATGAAAATCATGTTTATACATGCAGACAATAATTGCAGTGCAGTGCGTTGCATACTAAATCCAAGTCTTTATTGTAAGGACATGATGGGAGCAAATTAGAGGTCTTTCCACGAGGTAGTGAACAAAAACAGGAATGAGCTTTAGGCCTTTGTGGTCCCATCCTCTCTTACTGTGCCTAATACAGAGTTGGCAATCAATATACTTTGATTAAATGAACACATGAATACATATAAACAAATCTTCAAGGTAAACTCTCCCTTTATATCCTACTTAATGTCTATTTTCAATCTTAATAACAACAGGTAACATATGTACAGCGCTTGTACAAAATCACTGTCACCTCCAATTACCTCATTTTATTTTTAAAAAACCTTGGAGTTTATTATTATTATAATCTAACGGATGAGTAAAATAGACTAACAGGTACTCAAATGACTTCTCCAAAATTATATCTTTAATAAGTGTTACACAGAGAATTTAAACCCAAGTTGTCTTACTCTAATTATTACTGTCAAAGATAGAGGTTGCTAATGAAAGAATATCCTAAGGTGAACCAGAATACCTTTTTGAAGATACATAATCTTTATTAATACAAACTGCAAAGCCACATATTTGGAAATTCTTGGGGAATATATTACTCCATTCTCATTAATTTTATATGTCTACAAACATGAGCCTAAAGGTTCAAATCAATAAATCACTTTCGACAAGAAGTAAAGAAACAAATTTCAGGCTTTTGTTGTGCTCTCAGCACCATCCTGTTAGCATGATTTGTAGGTATAGAAAGTCTGTCTGTCATATTCACCAGCAAAACAGAGACAAGAAATGCAGCCAAGATAGCATTTCGCATAGATATCAGGGTATATCAGCTGGTAGAACCTGCTAAGTTGATATGTGATGGTGATAGGTAAAAATTTTTACACTTGGATCTAAACTGTTGGATAAAGTACAGATATCTTAGAGAATGTTTTTAAATTGTAAATTCAACAAGTCAACTATGTGGCATGGCTAAGACATAATCAAAGGCAATTCATGCCAAACGTGGAGCATTCTTCTCCTATGCCAGAGGACTGACTAAAGGATTTAGATGAGAAAGAGGAATTGCAGTAGACTATTATGTGTCACTTCCCAAGTCAGGCACTGAACACATGACTGGCGACAACTAAAATTTAAAATGTTATCATGACATAAAGATGAGCTTTTAACAATGGGAACTTTCCAAACTGTGATTTTGTTTTGAATCAGACATGATTTCAAGTCCCAAAATTATTATATGCTCTGGAATCTCAGAGAAGTGGCAGCCTCACTTTAATTTTGCCATCCATTCAAACAATCAGGTAGTAACAATAACTTGATTGCTCAGGGGGAGGGGGAATTTTTCTGAGGACTAATTGAAATAATGTCTCCTCCCTGTTCCATCACAGACACGGGGGCAAGCCTCATTTCTCCCCTAGTGATGCTGTGAGTGTCCCAGCACTGGTATTCCAGCAGAAGTTTAAGTGAGACCTAAATTTGTAGATGTGATTCTGAGTCAGGATTCAAAGTTCTGTGTCCTTTGAGGGTCAATGATGCCTCCACAAGTTCGGTCCATGAGATTATCATTTCACTTTGGGCTAGTCTTCCTCTATTCCCTCAACAAAGAAATTACAAATGTATCTTGTCTGTAACTATGTGAATCGAAGCATTCTTTCAAAGAAGAAAGATTCCAACTATTAGTCACTTGGTTTGGTTGCCAGTCATTCACGGGTCAGGCTAAGCAATTTATGTTTCTCTAGGAGACTCCAAACCTTCTCAGTTCCTAGGGCACATGGCAAAGAATGGACAGACTATTTTGAAGGAATCCATGCTTCCCTCTGAAGTCATAAAATTATATACTCCATTTACAAATCATCAGCCATAAATACGATTTTCTTCACATTCCTTGTAGATTTAGTGGTTTAAGCAGTCAGAAAAGCCAATATTTCAGCTCTTTTACATGGGACTGCGTATGTCACGTTGGGCTAGCCATTTAAACTCTGATATCCTTACTGTGCTTAAGTATAAAATTTCTAAAGAATAACTGAAGAGAACTATGTAAAGTCGCTAGCTAGGTATGGTAGGTACTCAGTGCATTTTGAATTTTATCTATGTTTAAGGTGTGAATCTAACTTTTGTGATTCCACCTCTTTCTTTCTAGCATACAAACATATCAGCTTGATTTTCCTGACATGATACAGTTCAAACTCTGTGAGCCATTACCATGGTTGTCACTGACCAGGGCTCCAGTCATGAGAAAGCTTCCTCAAGAATCTCCGCTCCACCTCACTCCTTCCCTAGGCTGCACTGAGATAGATGATAGGTTCGAGCTGGGCTGAAGTTCTTGCCAAAGAGAGAAGCCATATATGTTGGGAGCCTAACTGTCCTTGACAGCGCCCACATGCTTGGTAAACAAGATGGCTGATGACTCTTGCAAATTCATTTCCCCCCCACCTCCAGGCTGGGGCCAGATTTAAAGAGGTCTTTTAGCTGTGAAATTCTATTACCAATCAATCCCATTTCCAGTCCAGAGAGACAGTCAGCCCCTGGGAGTGGAAAATAGCTGTTGTTAGAACTAAGAATGAGATTGCTCACTGAGATTGTGCAGGGCATATAGTGACTTATACTTAGAGTCACCATATATCGACATTGAGTGCATATCAGACACGGGAAAATACCTGCAGCCAGACAGCTGGAGAGAATATTCCCAACTCAACAGTGATTGAACCAAGGCTTATTCCTGTAATCCCAGCCCTTTGGGAGGCCGAGGCGGGCAGATCACGAGGTCAAGAGATCGAGACCATCCTGGCCAAAATGGTGAAACCCCGTATCCACTAAAAATACAAAAAAAATTAGCTGGGCGTGGTGGCACGCGCCTGTAGTCCCAGCTACCTGGGAGGCTGAGGCGGAAGAATCGGTTGAACCCGGGGGGCGGAGGTTGCAGTGAG